AATGAGCATTAAAAGAATAGCTACAATAGCAAGGATGGCATCTGTGCATGGGTCTAACAGAATGAATTGCCTCTCCCTAAGGCTCAATGATCAAGGTTCTACCAATGCTGAATGGCAAAACTCATAACAGCAATAAAGACTTATACAGATTTCTGAGGAATTGCCATACTGTCTTCCATAGTGGTTGCACCAGTTTACATTCCCATCAGCAGTGTGGTCTATCGTATTACCCAGCTGTTCCTCTCCTGAGAACTTACCTAAAGGCAATTAAATCAGCATATGAAAGAGTTATCTCCATCCCCATGTTTATTGAAGCTGATTGTACAATACCTAAGATATGGAATCAACCCAAATGCCCTTCAAATTATGACTGGATAAAACAAATGTGAATGATACTACCCAGCCATAAAAAAGAATGAAATTCCTGTCTTTGCAACAAAACAGATGCAATTTAGAGATGATTATCCTTAGTGAAACAAGTCCGTTCAAAAAAGGCAAAAATGACAAGTTTTCCCTGATTTGTGATAATACGCAGAGTACAAAAATGTAATGTGTATAAGCAAAATTGACGTTTTGAGATTTGAATATTGTTTATAGCCCTTGTCTATTCTCTAGAGGAACAATAGTTTTTATACTTACTACTTGTTTAATTCTTTACTTAGTGGAGCATGAAGCTTGAGATTATAAAGTAAATTGAAAGTATTGTAAGAACTAAAAAAAATAAGAAAGATAGGAGGACAGAGGGTGAGAGCAACGAAGGGAGGGAGGGTAAGGTTAAAGTATCATTATGCTATTAAAACTGTATATGTGTAATACATGAGATTTGTTCCCTTTCTATTAAAATATATACGTGCAAAATAATTTCTCCAGAGCCCTTATTTTGGGAGATTGGGAGCTTACTGATAACACTATAACCCATTCTGTTGAAGGAAACAATTATGACACCAACCTGGAATTTATGGCAAATCAAGATATGAAATTGTCTTCTTTCTTAAGATCAAATACTTCCCACAATGCTTAGTTAGTCATATCTTTGTGCTTTATCTTAGGGTTTGCATCACAGAGCTCATTCTTTCCTCTCCAGTGTCTTCCTGCCACTGCAGCATGACATAGACATGAGGCTCCACACAGCTTCATGGATACACTTGGTACAAGTTGTAGACTCATGAGGCTTCCAGGTAAGTGATGGACAGCATTGAAAGAGAAAATGTGCTGTCCTTTCTTTTCCCATGAAAAAAAGATTTGCAATGTACTTCACAAAGAATCCCAAAGAAGCAAACTAGAGTTACCTGAATTATAGACATACTGCAGACGACAATATTGCATTTTGTATTGACTATTGATTTCTCGTTTCCTCTATTTTAGGTAATCCCAAGTAAACTACCACTTGCAAGTCATTGCTTTGTGCTTTGCTGACTGGCATGTATGCTCATATTTCCAAAGATGATTTCAAATTTTCCATCATGTATTTTAGGGTGTCAGTAATGATAATTAAACTAGTTTTAGAGAGATGATTAATTTATATATTTTGTAGGAGACACTGAGACTGAGAGTGGATAACTTTCCTTTCTACTGAATCCAGACTTAAATTATTTTTCCCAACTTAACTGCAAATAAGTGGAAGTAGAAGTGATGTGAAATACACTAACCACTGGACCATAAAAATCTACATTAGGATTTCTTTATCTGCATTAGCAGGATGAAAAAAATGTATTTTTTTACCTAGAAGAGGGTATGACCACATGGTGGAAGCATTTGTGACACCTCAAGTTCTCTAGCTTCCTCAAACATTCCAACTATTTCCTTAATAATGGTGTCTTATGTGAATGATAAATTACTTTTATGTCAGTCCACTGATATTTTATGTATCATCAGTTATAGCAGCAAGTCATAGCTTATCCTCTATTAAAAGTAGCACCTTAAAGTGGTGAGCTTGCCATGGTATATACTTGAAATCTACAGAATTATTATAGCAGTCAAAGAATGAGGACATACATTTTGGAGGCTGGCTGGCTGGAGACATCTTGTTTTACAGTGAGAAATAACTTGATACACTTGAAAAAGTTCTAATATCCATTAAACCAGTAGTAAAAGGTGAGGTGGTTTAAAAGAGCTAGAATGAAAATATGAATCCTTCACTCCAGAATGTATTGTGCAGAGTCTTACAATAAGTGGCAAGCACAGACACTGGTAGTTATTCTACCAGAGGTTGGAGCAATTAAAATAAAGGCTGTAACACTGAAGTAATATATTGCTTGTGGGTCTTAAATAGTAAGTAATAAGACTGAGAATTATTTCCACTTATAACTGTCCCAGTATTTCCGTGTTAAACAAACTGACAGAACTAGGCAGCAAAAATCAGATTAATAGTAATTCTTTTTGACTCAAGTCTATTGTTTAAATTAACTTAAATCATTAAATTAAAGAAAGTGGCATGGGGTGAAAAATAAAGGAAATAAAGCATACTTGAGAATTAAATCACGAAAATACCTTTTTTTCCTCTGGATATTGTCACAAAAAGCAAATATATTAGAAATTTAACACATTTTTAGAGATTATATTCCCAAAGAAGCCATTTTTTTTCTGCAAAAAAGTATATAACTGTTAAGCTTAAAATAAATCTAAATTCCTCAAACTGTTTGAGCAGGTTTGGCTTGTGAAGGAGCCATGTTCCTTAAGGAAGGCATTCTCACCGTATCTACTTCAGATTTGACCATGGATAAAAATGTTCAAACAAGGTGCTGGTGTTGTGCTATAGCAGGTAAAGCTTCCACCTATGACACTGGCATTCCATATGGGTGTCAGTTGGAGTCCCGGCTGCTCCACTTCTAAGCCAGCTCCCTGCTAATGTACTTAGGAGGGCGGCAGAAGATGACCCAAGTTCTTGGGCCCCTGCACCCATGTGGGAGACTCGGAAAAAGCTCCTGGCCCAGCTCAGACCATTGCGGCCATTTGGGGAATGAACCAGTGGATCAGAGATCTCTCTCTTTCTGTCTCAGTCTTTCTCTGTTCTTTAAATTCAAATAAAATAAATCTTTAAAAGAGATGTTCAAATAGGAGATTTCCAAAGACAAAATGAGAGCCACAGAACAAATACCCAATTCAGGGTTTAATTAAAGAAATCCGAACTACCAGAGAGGCTTCATAATGCCGACTCAGCATGATCATATTCCTGTACATCTATGACCTTTTCGATTACAGTGAGCAGAAACAAAGAAGTTTGAGGTGAGCAGGCAACTTTCCCAGCAGTAAATGCACCTGCATCCTGCTCCGGAGTGCCTGGGCTCTGACTCCTGATTTCCAGCTTCCCACCCATGCAGACTCTGGGAGACAGTAGCAGACAACTGAAGTAATGAGGTTGCTTCTACACATGAGGAGACCTGGATAGTGTTCTCAGCTCCCAATTCCTGCATTAGCCCAGCCCTGATCGTTGCAGATATTTGGGGGAATGAACTTGTGAATGAGAGCTCTCTATCCCATCTCTCTCACTCTGACTTTGAAATAAATACAATTTTTTTTTTTAAATGAGTTTGGGATACATGCTGTAGTACTGGGTAATCTTTAGAATGTGTGAGCATGCAGGGCTGATGTGGGAAGTCAGGATAATGCTTACAGACATATTTTGTTTAAAAGTGTCCTGTGCTACTTTTGTATGTTTGGGGCAGGAGATAAAGGTTATTAAAACTTGCCAAGACTAAGAGTTTGTTTTTTATTTGAACATTTTCCTATTAATTCAAGTTACTTAAAGTCCATTAAAGTTTCTTTAATTCTGTAATCCCATTACTAGAAATTCCTAGTTTTTGGAGATGGCATTTGGCACAGCAATTAAGATGTCACTTGGGATGCCTGCATCTTGTTTCCGAGTGCTTGGTTTGAGTCCCAGCTCCTTTGCTTAGGATCTAGCTTCCTGCTAATGTGTGCCCTGGGAAGCAGCAGACACTGGCTCAAGTTTCTGTCCCTGATATCCATGTGAAAGATCCAGATTGAGTTCCTTCCTCCTGGTTTTGGCCTGGCTAAGTGCTGGCTGTTGTGGGTTTGTGGAGAGTGAACTAGCGGGTGGTAGATTTTTGTCTCTGTCTCTTCCTATCTCTACCTTTCAAAAAATGAAAAACAAAGGAATGTTTAAAAAGAAATTCTAGCTTCAATGGCTAATATTTCTAAAATTAAATGTGACTATCACTGTGTATAGCTGAGATCTGTTTTTACAAAAATGCTCCATAAATATAAAGATTAGTTTGCTGCTAAACAATAAATGTTATTTCGTCCTGTAAATACCTGCAGGATTGGTGGCGGCAATTAGAGGGATAGGGGCATGGGGAGCTTTTGAGACATGGAAGATTGCATGGACTAATACTAGGGATGAATAATAGAGATTTTGAATTACTGACTATATCCTTGAGTCTTTCTATAAGATTAAAAAAAAAACCCTCTTGAATATTTGCTCACCCTGAGTCTCTGGGCAAATTATTTAAATTCCTAAATCTCAGCTTTCTTGTCATTAAATAAGAGTAAACAATTACTTCAAAGAATGGGTTTTCCATCTCATTACTTCAGGTTAATCAACAGATATGTTAAACATCATGAACAGGAAAAAAAAAAATAAATTGAAAGGTAAATAGACAGGGGATTGTAAAATCAATGATCCCTGATGGATCCCCCACTGAATATCTACATTCTTGTGTAGTCTTCACCCATACTGACTCTGAGGGTCACCATGTGATTTGCTTTGTCCAACAGAATATTCACAAATAAATCATTATTGTTTTAACTCGTTTGTTTTACTTAGCAATTTGTGTTACTTAGCAATGAATACCTGATACATCCAGTGATCAGATGGATAAATAACCTGTATACCGTTGATATTGAAGCCACTAAATATGTGATTATAACCTATCATGTATCTATCATCTATCTATCTACCTGTATACCTATGTATCATCTATCTATAGCCTATCACCTATCATCTATTGAGAGGGAGAAGTTTTATTTGGGGAACTTACTGAAACATGATTTTCTATGCAGCATGTGCTGGAAAATCTTGCACAAAGCTTCTTCAGCTTGTGTAATGGTCCTACAGGTGCATTGCGCTTGAAGGACTGTCCCAAGGGTTCCGAGGTAAGCTGCCTGACAGTCATCACTTCCGGAACAAATGAAATCCTTTTTGCTTAAGGTGCTGATACAGGTCTCATCATCGTGGCACTTGGCAGTTACAAGCTTCCAGCATTTTGTTTGAAATGTTCTGTAGTGTCTCCTAGGAAAAGAGTAAAAATATAGAACAGTGTAAATTTATATTACCATGTGATGGTCCCTTACTTAATAAATGACTGACATAAAACAAAATGCTTCCTGGATGCCAGCATGTTGTTGAAAACCAAGTTTGTACATGTAAACATGCTTCCAATAGGAAGTGTGGAAAAAAATTAGAGGAATCTTGTGAATTAGTGTTTCTGTGCTCAAAGACAGTAAATTTGGGATTCTCTGGATGGAGTTTCTTTCATTACTGATTTTATTTCAATGGGTGATGATTTGCAGTGTGAGATACTTGAGAGATTTATTAGTGACTTTCTTGAAGCTGAATGTAGTTTTGTGGCTATCATTTGGACATTGTTTCATACCACTGATTTCAAAAAAGGCATTTGGCCTTTCAAGCAAGGATTCCACAGGATGGGAGGTATGGTACGTTTTTCAATATTTCTAAAATAGATTAATTAGAATTCACAGATTTTCTAGGTTCTCTGGTAGCAACAGCTAATGTACAGAGACATTTATGATGTATTTAATGGCCAATATAATGCATTAGAATTACATCCATTCATAACTTTTCTAAGTATGTATTTGATTCATGCTGTAATAGCTTTGAATAAAAGTCTGGATAATGTATAATAATTTCAGTTTTAAACTTTCTCAGTGACAAGATATATTTCTTAATGGAACAAAGGATATTAACCTTCTAACTTTATATTTATCACCTAAAGTGACTTTTTGTCCTCTCTTGAATAGGTTTCCATCCAGCATCCATGAAAGATCTCAGGGTATACAATATTTGATACAAGTTTATTTGCCCACACGACGACACTCTACTAAAAAATCAAAAGCCACACAGTTTTCAAAATCTCATATTTTTAAAGATTTCTTATTTGAAAGGTGGAGTTACAGAGAGGGAGACGAAGAGAGATCTTCCATCCACAGGTTCACTACCCAAATGGCCACCAAAGTTGGGCCAGGCCAAAGCCAGGAGCCTAGACTCCAGATCTCCCAAGTGGGTGGCAGGGGCCCAAGCACTCTAGCCATCTTTGTCTGCTTTCCTAGGCACATTAGCAGCAAGCTGGATTGGTATTGCAGCAGCCAGGATTTGAACCAGGGTTTACATGGGGTGATGGTGTCAGGTGGCATTTTTAACTGGCTGTACCATGATACTGGCTCAAAAACTCTCATATTTAACTAATTTTAAAGGACCAGTTATTTAGGAGAATGGTGAAAATTAATTGGAATATATTAAAATTTGTACAAGGGAATACTGCAAAATTCTTAAACATGTAATTCTAAGGCCAGAAGAAGAAATATGTCACTTTAGTGCAATTAAGGGTTATATGTAAGTTGTAGACTGAATGTAGATTTTGAAAGTACTGCTTGTCATTTGGGAGGCTGATAGAAACATCTGTAACTAAATGCAGTTTATTCTAAAAATATAGGTTTTACTAAATTTAATGTGCATGATTTATCTGCTGTATAATTCACTTCTTTTGGAAATATCATGCAATTATTTCAAATAATGAACTACAGAATATTAATTGAAAATAAAATGCTGGGCAAGTGTTTGGCATAGTGGCTAATACACTACTTTGATACCTGCATCCCATATTTGAGTCTCTGCCATGAATTCTGGCTCCTCCATTTCGGAGCTGGATTCCGCTAATGAGCACCCTGGGGAGCAGTGGACAATGGCTCAAATATTTGTGCCTGGACACCTGTGTTGGTTACCCAGCTTGGATTTTAGTTCTTGGTTTCATCCTAGCCTAGTGCTTGCTATTGTGGGCATTTGGGGAGTGAAATAATGGGTGGAAGATCTCTGTTTGTCTCTCTGTCTCTCTCTATGTTTTAAATAAAAACGAAGTAAGTTAATAAATTAGCACAAAATGGTGAAACAAAAATAGAAATCCTTGAAATACTAGGAACTAAATATTTGAACTTCTAATGTTTTAAATATGACAAAAATTATATCTTAATTTTATTTTGTATTTGAAACATTTTAAGGTACAAATGCTTTCTTTATCCTTGTTGATAATTTGTATTCTTTTTCATTTACTCATACAATTAAATGTTTAAGAAAATTAAAAGTTTTTGAAAACAATTGAATATTTTGTTTTTATTTTTATGATTAAATTCTCTTTCTATTGAAAAAGGTAAGTGTATAGCCGGTGCCGCGACTCACTAGGCTAATCCTCCACCTTGCGGCGCCAGCACACCGGGTTCTAGTCCCAGTTGGGGCACCGGATTCTGTCCCGGTTGCCCCTCTTCCAGGCCAGCTCTCTGCTGTGGCCAGGGAGTGCAGTGGAGGATGGCCCAAGTGCTTGGGCCCTGCACCCCATGGGAGACCAGGAGAAGCACCTGGCTCCTGGCTTCGGATCAGCGCGGTGCGCCGGCTGCAGCGCGCCGGCCGTGGCAGCCATTGGAGGGTGAACCAACGGCAAAAGGAAGACCTTTCTCTCTGTCTCTCTCTCTCACTGTCCACTCTGCCTGTCAAAAAAAAAAAAAAAAAAAAAAAAAAGGTAAGTGTATAAAGAAAAGTTTCTGCAGATGGGTTCTATTATATTTGCCTTTTTACCTAAGTACAGCCACACTTTGTAAATAGTCCTTACCACTTAAAATAAATATAATTTCCTTTCAAAAGCTATCAAACTTTTAAGAAGTATTTTTTCGTTACTTTCTGTAATTCATTCATATGAAAATATAATATATTCTAACTTCTTAACTTTTATGATTGATTATATATAATCTCACCTCCCAGGGAATGTATTGGAAAAAAAACTGATCTGATCTTTTCAAAAAGTAAAGATAGTCTCAAACTGGGACAGATACAGAAATTGTATTTTCAAACATAAATACTGGCTTTGCCCATGTACAGACAGGCTTTTTTTTGAAAAAAAAAAAAAAAGTATGTGATAAAGGGCCTAACATCCTGGCTAAAGAAGTTTTCCATTTTTAAGACTTTTTTCATCTGTATTATATCAAGATTATTTAATATGAGTACTAGAAATCTCCCTAAGGCAAAATTTGATTAAGAAAATGAGATTTTTCTTTTCTCATTAATTACTAATACTGTATAATATTTCCATCACCTCCATGAAGCATTCAATAAAGGACTATTTGTTACTAAAATGATGCCATTAAGCCCTGGATGCCATCTTAGGCTATGGCCCCCATTGCCAACTTGCACAGTAAGCTTCAGTCCTAAGCCCAGTCTGACTGGCTAGAAGTCAGGTGACAAAATGGCCCAACCACAAGTGTGAGCTCCACTCCTACCTTAATGGGATTCACTGCTCCCACTTCAGTACCCCCTGCAGGACTATAACAGGCCCTGCTTCCTACACATGCGGTTCTCTCTCTTGCTCTCTTGGCCTCTCCCTCTGGCCTGTCAGGTTTCCCCCACCCAACAATAAACCTTTCCCTTAACTCCAGTGTTTGGTGTTTTTTTGTGATGGCCTTACAATATTTGCACATGCTGAAAGGAAATTGATACATCATCATTACTCTTTGAATTAATCTAAGAAGGATGGAAATTACATAAGAAAATATGTGTGCGTGTACATTGAAGTATAAAAATTAAGTGGACATTATTGAAATGTAGAGAGACAGAAGATGATGTCTTTTGAGTGTTTATCTTGTATCAGTCTCTACATCAAACAACTTAGAAAGGTGGTTAATCCTAGGAATTCTTGTTGAAGAAAATCACCAACTTTGTTTAAGTCAATGTGAGAAGGTATTGATACCAAGGGGAGGTTAATGGTAGTGTGCCAACTTCAGGATCTATTAGAGGGAGTCACAAGAACTGTAGTAGTATATTCTGCTACTTGCCACTAAAGTGTTTTTTTTAATTTTTTTATTTCATATGGAAGCTTATAAATATCATGCTATGAAAGTTGAGTGCAAATTACTTCAATGTAACAGAGTAGTACATCAATGATACTGGCTCTAGAATCAAACATAGGTACCCATCTGTGGAAACATCTGGAATTTTTTTACAGGAATTGCTTTAAAAATATGCTGTCACCTACCCTTGGGTGGTTAACATATTATTCAGCTTAATTGTTATGGATAGATGACAGATAGAATCTATTTGGAACATGAGACAGCAGTATAATCAAACATGTCTACTTCATTTCACTAATTTTAGGAGGAAATATTTTATGTACAACTAAAAACACTTGTTGGTATTACACTATGACAAATGTTTCCTTGTTGTTTGACCTTAAGATTCATTCCAAATATCTCAGTGATGTTAAAATATGTAATGAAAGTGCATTAGAAGCAATTAAATACAATATTTCACTAGTAAGGATTTGTGACATGATGAATGAGTTTGAAAAATCCAAATTGAATTATAAAATTATTTTTATCACTGCTTTTTTATTTATTCAAGAAACATAATTAATAAGCCTTAAGATAATGGATACAGATTGGCATGATAGACCCTTAAATTAAATTTTCTTGAGAATCTTGACATCTTTTTGTTAACTTGAAGCAATATGTCAGTACTCTAGCACTCTGCCTAGATCTTTACCTTTTATCTCATAGAATGTATGTTATGGGGAAGCAATTATCTTCGACAAATGTTTACAAGATCTGGAACTACTGTGCAATTTAGAATACTGAGAATAATAGAGTGGAGACAGTGAAAAAGGCTGAAAGAAAGCAGTTTGCCAAGAACCTTCAGGAAGCTGATATCATTATGTTTTTCAGTCTTTTGCCAGTGGTTAAAATAAGGTGACAAATCTCTGAGCTATCACACACTGAGCCTCTCCTCCATTCTAATTTTTTATGTTGATCTTGAAATGAATTGGATATATATGAAATTTCTTTCATTTAAATAAAATGACGTAAAACAGTATACATGATAGAATGTACTGGGAAGACAAATTAATGAGGTTTACTCGAAACAGTGCAAAGATGAATCTAAAAATTACATCATTTTAATGCTGGTTGTTAAAGCTCCTTCAACATTAAAATACCAACGTTACAAATAGTCTTGACTTATCCAGTGCACTCAACATTCTCATTTTTCCTGCATCTTCATACACTTGTCCAATTTTTGACTGCACAGAAGATAAATTCATCTTGAATAAACAACAAAAAATGTGCTAATGAGAGCTCAGTGAGAAAAAGAAAAGGTCAAAGTATGTTAGAATAAATTTATGTTTCCTAAGAGTGATTACCTGCACAGGTACAATCTGCTTTCAGCTGGCAGCCAGAGTGAAAGTTTTAACAAAAGAGCCAGATAATTCATAACTCTGCTCAAAATCTTCCTTTTTGGTTGGAGTAAAAGCCTTAGTCCTTGCAATGTCCCCCTAGGCCCTAAGTGATCTATGCCTGCCTGAACTTCATGCAGTTACATCTTTAACCTCACCTCCTATTGCTCTACCCTTTGCACACCCTACTCTCAACTTTTATAACATGCAGAGCACATTTCTTCCTTAACACTGAGGGTGGTCCGTTTGCTTGGTATTTCTTCCCTCAAATACTTACAGAGAAAGGCCCATTCCCTGGCTTCTTCAAGCAGAGTAAAATGCTTCCTAATGGGACCACACTTTGAGCTGAAACTTTTTCAGCCCATTCACAATGCCCTTTATTCTGCTGTTTTTCTTAATCTCCAGAGCATTTGTTCCTATATAATATCATATTCGCTTTCCCTTATTTATAATCTGTCTCTACCTACAAGAATTTAAGCTCTACTAGAAAGACATTTGTGTCTCCTCTTCGCTGATACCTTGAGTAGTAGTAGGTGCATAATAGATTGTTTCAAACCAAGAAATAAATAACTAATATTATCCCAATACACAACGGTATGAGGCTAGGGAGAGAAGGATGGTCACATTCTACATCATGGCTTATGTGTGTGCTGGAGATGTCCAAATTCTTCTCAAGCTACCTTCTTCTTCCTGGTGTCCAGCCTAATACAAAAAGAATTTATTTTGAAGTTTGTAGACTCACTTTGCCAAAATTCTACAATGGATAACAAGCTTACAAAATCACACCAAAACACAAACAAGCAAGAAACCGGTATATAAGTCAAATACATGAACAATTCATTACTCCAACTCAAATATATAATTTTAACAATGCTATTTCATGGCTATCACATCTTGACATGCTGAATTTCTATATTCCAAAATCTTATTCTGCATTTGAATTTCAAAAAGCACACTACACATGTAACACAGATTTGAAATTATGATTTGTCTGGTTTTATTTACACCATGTTGGATGATGGTGGGAACTGTAGCTAAGGTAATGAGATCAAGTGTTAGAACTGGACTATAACAAATAAGGTGCAGAAATAAGAAAGTAAGGTATGCGTGTTCTACTCACCTGCATAATTCATCATTTCGGCAGCTGTGAATTACATTGAGGCAAGAAGGGGGTGGAACTATGTTCACTGCACATGGCTTGCTGTGAAGAGCTTCTTTGGACTGCTGACAAGGTATATCAGATTGAGCACAGTCACAAAAAGCCAACATCTGGGCAATGTTAAAAGGCATATTTTGATAGAAGAACCTTATGGCTGTTTGGCAGTGTTTCACATCACACAGAATTCCATTTGCTGAGCAAGCTTTAAGGTAAAGGGCCAAATGTGCATTACAGACCACATCTCCTACACACGCCTCTGTCACTTCCAAACAGGATGGGATCCCTTCGAACCCTGAAAGCAATGATATGCTTTGGTCGTAGAAAAGCCAACACAAAGCTGTACATACAAAACCTGCAAAATACTGTAAGAAATCTGGGAGCAAAGTATAATGATGTACCAATCTGCTATTTCTGGCAAGCATTCCTCCCTTTTTTTAAGAGTAAGTTTGAGTTTGCTGAGACCTAAGTAGTGTGGTATTTGAATCATCTTTCTTCTAAACTGAATATATATTGTGACCCAGGGTGATGGGAAGTGTATAAAGCCAAAATTGAGAGGGAGGAAAAATTTCTGAGTTCAAATTTCACAAATGTAAACAATAAATCTCCAGAAATTACATTTGAACTATATAGTTTATGAATGGGAAGTTCATTGGCTCAAGTTAAAAAGATTCTTATTCTATTGCACTATTTCTCATGGTGGTAGGATCTCCACATTATTATTCCTGTATATAAACATGTTTACACTCTAAAAAACAGATATATGTAAATGTCCTCCCCTCACCACTGCATGCATATTCAAAACCAGTTGGTCTCCAGCGCCGCGGCTCACTAGGCTAATCCTCCGCCTTGCAGCACCTGCACACTGAGTTCTAGTCCTGGTCGGGGTGCCGGATTCTGTCCTGGTTGCCCCTCTTCCAGGCCAGCTCTCTGCTGTGGCCCGGGAGTGCAGTGGAGGATGGCCCAAGTGCTTGGGCCCTGCTCGCCATGGGAGACCAGGATAAGTACCTGGCTCCTGCCATCAGATCAGCGCGGTGCCCCGGCCGTGGCAGCCATTGGAGGGTGAACCAACGGCAAAAGGAAGACCTTTCTCTCTGTCTCTCTCTCTCTCACTGTCCACTCTGCCTGTCAAACAAACAAACAAACAAACAAAAAAAAACAGTTGGTCCTAAAGTGTTTAATTTATATGATCAAAATTTGCATGAATTTTACTTAGGACCTAGTATATGGTTATATTCACAAGTACATCCAGAAATAATTGATGAATGGGCAAAATGTTTGAATGTCATCAATGGAAGAAATGCAATAATTCTGTTGCATTTTGTTGTATTAAAACTAGTAATCAAAATAATTTTTAGAACTTGCACATATTTTAGAAACTGGCAATTACACTTTAAGTAAGTTATATTATCTAGTATTCACAATGCAGATAAAATAATAATTTATACATTACCATGATAGGAGAGTGTCGTTAGATTCCACTTCAGTTCATTATCCTCTTTCATGTTATCTGGAATGGAAAAAGATAAATTATTATTGCACAATTTTCTAAATTTCCAAGGATAATATGTATTACATTTATGAATGGATAATCAAGCAAAAATACTTAAAAGTTCAGGAAATGCTAATTTAGTCCTTGATTTTCAAAATTAGTGAGGTACAGATGAAGAAAACTAAACCTCTGAAATATCATTCAGGTGAGTTGAAGATCACTGCTTGGTGGATTCCGTTACTTGAAGATTTAAACAAATGCTATCATCTGCACCATGTGCTTTGAAGTGAACAAAGATTGTCTTTTATGGAGAATAGATGGAATATGGTCAGAACAACAGCAAAACTGTCCTAACCCAGGAACATACCAATTAGATCAGAATTCAATTTGAAGACTATTTCTCCTCTGATTATATTTTTGTCTGAGTTCTTAGGAATTATAATTATAGAATTAGAAAATCTTATCAATGCCGGTGGACTCAGTGGCAATCTAATTTCAACAGCTTTGATTCAAGAAGCATTTGTTGAATCTTTATTATGCACCACTTGACATACTAAGGATGTAAATCTGTGGTCCTTTTGGCTAAGTTCCCCATAGCCTGGCAGGAAGCATAGACAAGTAAAGTCAAGCCAACATAAAATAAAAGGAACACAGATGCACAGAGTAGTAGGGAAATAGTATGGTCAGATTTTCATTTAAAGTGTAAATTAAATTTTGTGATAGTCTATTAAGATTAACTTTTGTTGTAATGTAAATGTTCTTTCATAATTCACTTTGGCCCTACCCAGGATACCTCTTCATATTTTTTGCCCACCAGTCTATTGCACATAATTGATGATACATTCACAGGAAAATTCTTCTTATCCCCCAATGTGTCACAGACTTTTCAGAATCCTTGTATTATTCTAATTGTTCTAGTAAAACATGGTTCTTCATTTGTCTATTGATCAAGTCTCAACTCAATCATTTCTTCTTGAATCCATTCTCCTGTTTGATGAAGACAAGTGTTCTTATTTCTGTGCATTTAAACCACAGCAGAAGAAATTCTAATTTAATAAAATGGCTTTTGCACTAGACCCAAAAGTCTAAAGTGCACACTAACCATTCTGTTACAGATTAATTATCTCTGCATTGGGACTGATGGGTGAGGCTGTGCCACTGATGAAATACAACTTAAGAGGATATCCTTGAGATACAAATACTCACTGCCTTCATTCAACATGATGGGCCAAAAGTTCATGCCCTCCAAAATGCACATGTTGAAGACCTAATTCCTAATAGGGTTGCCCTTGGAGATGGCATCTCTAAATAATGGAGGCTAAGTAAGTGGCTCTCATCTGAGAGGACTAGTGGCCTTATAAGCAGAAATATTGCGAGCACTCTCTCTGCCTCTCTTCTCCACAACCCCGAATCACACACCAAGGAGGGGCCATAGAAGGACATAATTAGAAGGCAGCTGGCTGTCTAGAAATGTGTAAGGGAGAAGCCTCACCAGGAACAGACCCCGCTGAACATTGTTGGAATACTTTCAGCCTCCAGAACTGAGACAAAGCTACCCAGAATCTACTATTTTGTTAATAGTAGCCAGAGAGGCCGGCGCCACGGCTCACTAGGCTAATCCTCCACCTGCGGCGCTGGTACCCTGGGTTCTAGTCCCAGTTGAGGCGCCGGATTCTGTCCTGGTTGCTCCTCTTCCAGTCCAGCTCTCTGCTGTGGCCCAGGAAGGCAGTAGGGGATGGCCCAAGTGCTTGGGCCCTGCATCTGCATGGGAGACCAGGAGGAAGCACCTGGCTCCTGGCTTCAGATCGGCGCAGCCCGCCTGCTGTTGTGGCCATTTGGGGGGTGAACTAATGGAAGGAAGACCTTTCTCTCTGTCTCTCTCTCTCACTGTCTAACTCTGCCTGTCGAAAATAAATAAATAAGTAAAAAACATAGTAGCCAGAAAATACCAATCTACTTACTACGTGAGTAATTATTATTCACACACAAAATATTTTTAGTGTTGGGAAATTAATTCTATCTTGGGTGGTATGATATTTTCTATAATATGAGAAATATTTTACAATAATGTTTGAAGATTTATTTATTCATTTGAAAGGCAGAGTTAGGGAGAGAGAAGGAGACATGCACACTCACTCACACACACACCACAGAGAGAGAGAGAGAGACAGAGAGAGGGAGAGAGAGAGAGAGAAAATCTTCCAGCTTCGGGTTCACTCCCTTAAATGACTGCAATGGCCAGGGCTGGGCCAGGCTGAAAGCAGGAGCCAAGAGCTTCTTGTGGGTCTCCCACATGGTTATAGGGGCCCAAAGATTTGGGCCATCTTCCACTGTTTTCCCAGGTGCATTAGCAGGGAGCTGGATTACAAATGGAGCAACCAGTACTCAAATCGGCACTTATATGGGATGCCGGCACTGCACACAGAGGCTTAAACTGTTGCACCACAGCACCAGCCCAAACAATAAATTTTCTAAACATGAAATGCTAATTTATTACATTTTATATATATATATATATGTAAAGAGTGTATTTTTAACTCTAGCTTAATTACCAGCACTCTAAATACAATAAGCGCTGTGAATAAATAGAAGTGTGTACTATTCAGAATTATGTGTGAGTTATAAAATCATATAAAAATGCTTAAAAATATACAGTGTTCCTTCAAATATACTCTAGGGTCTTATACTATAATCAAATATCTCGAGCCGGCGCCGTGGCTCAATAGGCTAATCCTCCACCTTGCGGCGCCGGCACACCGGGTTCTAGTCCCGGTCGGGGCGCCGGATTCTGTCCCGGTTGCCCCTCTTCCAGGCCAGCTCTCTGCTATGGCCAGGGAGTGCAGTGGAGGATGGCCCAGGTGCTTGGGCCCTGCACCCCATGGGAGACCAGGAAAAGCACCTGGCTCCTGGCTCCTGCCATCGGATCAGCGCGGTGCGCCGGCTGCAGCGGCGGCCATTGGAGGGTGAACCAACGGCAAAGGAAGACCTTTCTCTCTCTGTCTCTCTCTCACTGTCCACTCTGCCTGTAAAAAAAAAAAAATAAATAAAAATAAAAATAAAAATAAAAATATCTTAAAGTCAGAATAACTTCCCTATATCCCCTCTGTCTTAACATAACAGAAGCACAAACTAAATTCATGTAAATATTTTCATTTAATTCTAAATTGATAAAAATATATTTATAAGGTGCTAATAAAAACATTTCTATAAAATGATCAAATTCAGTACAATAGAATATTTCTTCCTCAGGGCACATGCTCCAATGTTCAAGACATAAAGATCATAAAAGTAACATTAAAAGGGTCAGCCTGGGGCTGGCGCTGGGGCATAGTGGGTAAAGCCTCCACCTGCAGTGCTGGCATCCTATATGGGCGCCAGTTCTATTCTTGGCTGCTCCACTTCCAATCCAGACCTCTGCTGTGGTCTGAAAAAGAAGTAAAAGATGCCACAAGTCCTTGGGCCCTCCCACCTGCACGGGAGACCCAGAAGAAGCTCCTGGCTCCTGGCTTCAGATTTGCACAGCTCCGATGCAGCTATTTGGGGAGTGAACCAGTGGATGGAAGACTTTCACTCTCTCTCTCTCTCTCTCTCTCTCTGCCTCTTCCTCTCTGTAACTCTCTCAAATAAATAAATCTTTAAAAACAAAAAGAAAGGGTCACTCATGGAAGAAAGAAGAAAAGAGCCTGGCTTTTTCCCAACCTTATTTCCATATATATAACTCTTGCAGTTTGGATATTCTCATTTTCCATTTAAAACAAACCGTGTTTGCATTAGCAGTAGTTTTCATCTGCCTTGTTAGCTTTGCAGCTCCAAGAACGTTATCTATCCTTAAAAACACTTTCTCCTCAGACAGCATAAATGCTGTCTCCCTGTACTTCTTTCTGTGCTCTTGTCAAATACTAGCCTCAGCCTTGCTCTGATATTCATCATTTTGAACTGTCTCAACATTTCCCCCACTTTCAATTGTGCCAGTGTGCCAAGTTATGTCCATGTCCATTGGAAATCCCGTCTCCCACTCTGCTTCAGCATTCCTTCACTAAAACTCTGATCTTTACCTCACTCTGTACCAGGCCCCACCAGTGCTCGTATTCTAGAGCCCACATCTTGAATTTCTGCTTCCAATTTAATTCATTTTTTAAAATGTTAATTATCCTACAATTGCCTTCCAAGAACTTCTCATCCTTCTGACCTTCAGTTGTGTATATACCTCAGAACACTCATTTTTACATTTCCTCCCAATCTTTGAATTACCTCCTGAAGTTGGTGACTCTTTCCTGCCTGTATCACACTTCTAATAGATGAACATTCAAAATCACTCAATAAATATGTGTCAAAGAGCACCAGCTGGATATCATTCACTATTTAATCCCTTCATAATCAATTTTTACCACCCTAACCAAAAGCACTCCTATTGGTCTACTCTTCCTGTCTTTTTTTTTTTGACAGGCAGAGTGGACAGTGAGAGAGAGAGACAGAGAGAAAGTCTTATTGCCATTGGTTCATCCTCCAATGGCCGCCACGGCCAGCGCACCGCACTGATCTGAAGGCAGGAGCCAGGTGCTTCTCCTGGTCTCCCATGGGGTGCAGGGCCCAATTACTTGGGCCATCCTCCACTGCACTCCCTGGCCACAGCAGAGAGCTGGCCTGGAAGAGGGGCAACGGGGACAGAATCCGGTGCCCCGACCGGGACTAGAACCCGGTGTGTCGGTGCCACAAGGCAGAGGATTAGCCTAGTGAGCCATGGCGCCGGCCTACTCTTCCTGTCTTAAAATAAACACCCCTCTTACCCTTTTTCTTTCTCCAGGTATTGCTCTGTTTCTCTCTTTTCTAAAGCATACTTCTTTTAAAGACTGGTCTGTTTTCTAGCTACAGTTTCCCTCCTCCTATTTACGTGGGGGACTTTTTTTTCTGCCAACAGTTATTTGCATATTCATAACAGCATCCACAGGCCATACAAAATTATCAACTTAAAAATCAGCCTACTATAGATTTATTGAATTTTGAGTGCTGACTGCAGTTGCCTTTGGAGGGCCAGATCAAATGATGTTGCAGGCCTCAAACAGTCCATGAGCAGATGTTCAAACCCCAAACTCCACCTCAAGTTTACCACTCCATGGAAACCATTCTTTTTTTATTTTGCTTAATTTTTGTTATTTGACAGGTAGAGTTATAGACAGTAAGAGAGAGAAAGACAGAGAGAAAGGTCTTCCTTCCGTTGGTTCACTTCCCAAATGGCCACTATGGCCGGCACTGCTCCGATCTGAAGCCAGGAGCCAGGTGCTTCTTCCTGGTCTCCCATGTGGATGCAGGGGCCCAAGCACTTGGGCATTCCTCTAGGAGCAACCGGGACTGGAACCCAGCACCCATATGGGATGCCGGCGCCGTAGGCAGATTAACCAAGTGAGCCATCGTGCCGGCCCCACCAATGAATATATTGACATCAAATACACGAATCTGACTCTTAACCTGCTCCATCTCCCTCACTAAATCCTCTTTCAGGAGTTGTTTCTACATGGTTAATGAAAATAATGGCAGCTACATCCTTATATTAGCAATTCCATCTTTATAATTTCTTTGGATAAAAACTATGAAGTCAACCTTAGTTCCTTTCTTTTTCTTGCATTCCCATATGATCCACTAATATCAAACTATATCCAGAATCTCACACCTTCTACAATGGTCTATCATCCATCATATATTTATGCATCCATTATCTTTTTATTGCATCTTTTTCTAGAAGCCGCTAACTGGTCTTCCTACTGGGGCCTTTGATTATCTTCTGTCAGTTTCACTAAAAATTCCAGAATTAACCTATAACCCACAGACCTTGATCAACCCATGACCAAAATCCCTCAGTGGTTTACTCTACCAAGGAGTAAGAGCCAAAGCCTTTGAAATTACCTACAGAGTTTTATATGACTCACACCCTGTAATATTTATTATTTCATCTGCTATGCCACTTGCTTGCTCTTGCTTGTTCAGCCCCAGCTACACTGTCTTCTTTGCTATTCCTCAAACCTCAACTCATATTCATAGCTCAGGACTTTTAATTTGCTGTCTTTTCTGCCTCATATATCCTTTCTGCAGCTGTCCCCATGGCTCATGCCCTTTTCTCTTTTTAATTGTTACCCAGATATTAATTTTTCACAGCAATTTCTGACCATCCTGTTAAAATTAAAATCCACCCAACCAGACTTCCTTATTCTCACCTATTTTACCTTTTTAAGCACCCACTGACCCACTGATGTTTAGAACAAATAGATATAGATATAGATATAGATAGATATAATAGTATTTATCCTGTTAAGGGTCTACATTACTAGGGGGATTCTTAGTAGTGAGCTAGGCCCTCATGGTCATACAGGGCCTCAATTCCCCCAATTGCATTGGGTATTGTTAGGTGATGGTTCACACTGGTCCTTTTCTAGGCATTTCCTTCTTCAAAAGAAAGTTGTCATATCAGGTTTCATGCTTGCCCATGGATCAACTCATATTCATCGCTGGCCTGTATGAGTAAGGATTTTGATTCAAAGAGAGGTGCCTCGAAGAACATCCCTGGTCCAAAGTTTTCTCTGAAAACAACTACATTTTTTGTGGCCATTTAACATAATTTCAGTTTGTCCCTTCACCTAATCCTGTGTTCTTCTTTGTAGTTTTTGTCCCTAAGTGCCCACCCCAAAACATTTTCTGCAGAGAAGTTTCCATCTTAGACTTTGTATCCAAATAAATTGACTCTATCCATTCTTCAATTACAATGTCAGTTCCTACCGCATAGTGATTTTTGTTGTTGTGTTTACTTCTTTATCCCCACGGATTAGGACATGGTATAGGACATGATTGGTGCTCAAAATAAATAAATGTCCACTTTATTTGCTCTTTTAATTATTTCAGTGAAGAAATACTTTGTTGTTGTTTTTAGTTTTATAGCATAGAACTTTGATATTGTAAATGGCTTAGAAGTGTTTGTTCAATGAATGAATGAATGAATGAAATAAACATTATGCCAAATACTGAAGACACTATGCTTCTTTCTTGGTAATCTCAATGAGATATGGTTATTGTATTATGTGTTTTAATTTTAATTTCCTAGAAGAAACACAGCTAGAAGTGCAGAGTTGAAATTATAAACTAAATATTCTCTAGTTAACTCATGTATGTGATTATACTTAGTGTTCCTGAAGTTATTTGAATACCAACCTGAAACAATGTCCTGATTGAATCCATCTTCATAGTCTTCACCGAATGCTGCAGCTTGATTCATTTGAGTATCCTGTATACAGACATCTTCAAATAAACTTTTCCAAATTTTAATGCAATCTGTTTTTGAAGGGTCACTGCATTGACAATTTCCCAAAATTGTTCCTTTCAGATTTTCTCTTAATGTTGTACACAACTGGCTTCCATCAAGTGTTTTGCAATGTTCTGTTTCTCTCCCACAGGTTTTCTTGAAATTCTCATACAATCCAGTACAGTGTTCAGATTCCAAGCAGGCATGTGCTGCTATGACACAGTCACTCTTCTTTTCAGCCATTAATGATAGGTCTTTCTGGTGGAGCCATTGTGTGACATTTGATTGTGAAAGCAAGTCAGAGTACAGGGCTGATTCTTCCATAAGTAAAGTATAAGAATGATGAAAAATTAAATAAATTCATTTACTGTGATCTTTAAAATAACTATTCAAAAGTGCATAGACATATTTTATAAATATTCCAACTATCAAAAACCATTGAGCCGGCGCCGCGGCTCACTAGGCTAATCCTCCGCCTAGCGGCACCGGCACACCGGGTTCTAGCCCCGGTTGGGGCGCCGGATTCTGTCCCGGTTGCCCCTCTTCCAGGCCAGCCCTCTGCTGTGGCCAGGGAGTGCAGTGGAGGATGGCCCAGGTGCTTGGGCCCTGCACCCCATGGGAGACCAGGAAAAGCACCTGGCTCCTGGCTCCTGCCATCGGATCAGCGCGGTGCGCCGGCCGCAGCGCGCCGGCCGCGGCGGCCATTGGAGGGTGAACCAACGGCAAAGGAAGACCTTTCTGTCTGTCTCTCTCTCTCACTATCCACTCTGCCTGTCAAAAAAAAAAAAAAAAAAGCATTAAAAAAAAAAAAAAAAAAACATTGAAATATTTCAAGACAATCATGATAAGTGATGTTGAATTTTTAAAAATTGAAATATAAAATACTGATAATTTAGTTTCTATAGCTGCATAATATTAATGATCAATTTCCTTTAGTGATGTTTTAGCCACATCATTTACTTTTGTCTTTTTACTATATTGTGATAATGATTGACCAAAATTATGCTTAGTTTAAAACATTTATAAGCTAATTCATTACTTATGTAAATTTTTATGAAGTGTCATGTTTTCCTGGAATTGTACCTTTACTAAAGTGTTATCAACCTTTAAAATAATATCCCCCTTAAGGAGTTTTATTAGACAGTTATTTTTCCGAATTCTCCTCTCTTCTCCTAAAAACCTTGATTTCATAGGCATACATGTATGTCTGCATTTTATGCATAGTAAAGATTTTTTTTCACATGCAAGTACCAGTTTTCACCCCTTTGTGTTCTATTGCCCTCTCTGAGAATGCGCATTCTCAGAGAGCTGATAAGCCTCATAAGTGATAAGCCCAATAAGAGTCAATAAGACCAGAATTATATAAACTTTACAGAAAGAAGATAAGAAAACCATCTTAAACAGGACTCCAGGTAAGCTTAACTTAGGCTTTCAGAAGTCTACAGTCTAATTCTAAAATATTTTGTCTTCCTGTGGGGCACTCCAATAAAACCTGAGCAATGAAAACCACCTTGACCTTAATAATCTTTCTGCAGCCAAAATAATGCTTCTTTTTTCTAGAGTATCCTGTCTTTTATTTTTTTTAATTTAAAAGATTTCTTAAATGAATGTTGTCTATACTTTAGCTTTTTCAAATGCCTCGTATTTTTGCCAGATGAAGAAAATATAATTAATTTAACAAGGTGGAAATATTGACTTACAAACAGCTATGGCACCCATACAAACATTATTCAGGGTTACAGCCTCTGGTGTGCATACATTTTGAAACATATACTACTATAATATTTCTCAAATAGCACCTTACAATTAATTAATATAATTATATAAATTAGGCTCCTCATCTAGAACAGAGACTGCCTCTTGTATCCTTAATAGCCAGTTTGTATGTTCAGGCTTAGATGAAGGTGTATGTAAATGAATGTTATTTTCATATAATAAGCTCCTTTTCATTAATAATTATATGTGTTGGAACACACTGCAAATCTGCCTAAATATCTGCCTCTTTTATAGCATATACATGTATAAACTGGAAGTGAATACATCAGAAGTCAGTCAGACTACATTAACTAATTGGGTTAAATGTCAATCTCTGCTTTCAGTTAATGAAGAGCAGAGACTCTGTTATCCATCTTTATATCCTGCAGGTTCACACAATGTTTACACATTAATTGAATAATAAGCATTTTATAAATTTCAAAATGATGAGGAGCTTAAATTTTTAATTAATTAAAACATTTATGCTACATATTTATAGACTATGTTGGGCACAATGTTGGCTAGTTTAGCATATGCATAAGAAAATAGGGGCCAGAGGCCCCTGCTGCAGTAGGTTAATCCTCCACCTGCAGTGCCAACATCCTATATGGGTACTGCTTCTAGTCCCTGCTGCTTCTCTTCCTATCCAGCTCCCTGCTAGGGCATAGGAAAGCAGTAGAAGATGGCCCAAGCACTTGGGCCCCTGCACTCACATGGGAGACCTGGAAGTAGCTCCTGGCTCATGGCTTCAGATCGCCTCAGCTCATCCATTGTGGCCATTTGTGGAGTGAACCAGTGGATGGAAGACCTTTCTCTCGCTCTATCTCTCTCTCTCTCCCTCTCCCTCTCACTGTCTGTAACTCTCAAATAAATTCCTTTTTAAATTTAGATCTTTTTTATTACTAATGACACACAGAAAAAGTAAGAATGAAGATCAAATGAGAAAGAAAGAGAGCATCTGAATGAAAGTGAAGGCAGCATTATAACTCCTAGACATTCAAAATAACAATTAGGGAATATTAGGAGCAAATTTAGTGGGGATGCAGAAACCAAAGAAAGAAAAAGGAAATTAAAAGTAAAAATTCAACATAAATCCAGCTGGAGCCGGCGCCCTGGTTCACTTGGTTAATCCTCTGCCTTGCGGCGCCAGCATCCCATATGGGTGTCGGGTTCTAGTCCCAGCTGCTCCTCTTCCAGTCCAGCTCTCTGCTGTGGCCCAGGAAGGCAGTGGAGGATGGCCCATGTGCTCCCTGCATCCACATGGGAGACCAGGAGGAGGCACCTAGCTACTGGCTTCAGATCGGCACAGCACCGGCCTTAGCGGCCATTTGGGGAGTGAACCAACTGAAGGAAGACCTTTCTCTCTGTCTCTCCCTCTCACTGTCTAACTCTATCTGTCAAAAAAAAAAAAAAAAAAAAAACATAAATCCAGCAAATGGAAGACAAAAACTACTAACATTCACTCAAGATTAAATGGATAACTGGACTATTCCTGTAACACTTATACACACAGAGTTTATATTTTTATAACTTCCAAAGAAAAATGGTCTAGGTATCTTCACTGACTAAATCAATCATTTAAGTAAGATATGATATCAATTGTTTGCACACTGTTCTAGAATATAAGAGAGGTAGAAAGACATTGCAATCAATTTTAAAAGGTCAACAAAATCTAACTAAGAGAACCCAAAAATATCCTGAGTGAGCAATGATGTATCAAAATAACATTATCAATTTGAAACTGACAATCTGTGAAAAGAATACGATGAGCAGGAGTTCACCTTGGCATGAAAGGACTGGATCAACATTAAAAGTCCAATAATTAAATTTTAAAGCCATAACCAATTTGATAGTCAAATACTGCAAAATTAAGCATCCAGTTATCCGTTCCTGATTTTTAGAAATCTCTAAGTAAGCTGGAAATAGAAAAGAATTTCCTCAGCCTGATAAGTGGAAGAAGGATGATTGTGAAGAGTTAAAAAGTACTTTAAAACAGATGCATTCCCAGGCTGATCACTTTTCAGAGAGCATGCGTAGGGTCAATGAGGACCTGAAAATCGTTAGCTTTAAAATTGTGTAATCTTTCAGAAAGTCTTTGGGTATCCTCAAGGGAACATGCAGACTATTTTGTTTACCATTATTGCTGTGTCAGTCAGATTAAATGCCCCTATACAAAGGCAAATATGTGATAGGTAATTTATTATATTTTGTCTCTGTTGGGAGATTCTGAATTCTATAACAGTAGAGATTGTATTTATTTGTCTGCTATTATCTAGGTATTGCCAACATCTACAATAAACACAATAAATCCCAATGATTCAAACAGTTGGAGATTTTGGCTAGCAATTGCAGAAATATGTCCTGTAGTTACTGAGATCCACAGTGAATAGAACTCTGTCACATCAACTATTATCCAATTTACAAAAAATGAGTTAACCAAATTATGCAGATTTGGTTGATTTTGGAATTGTAATTTTCTCTTTTCTGACTGTAAACTTTCCACATTACAAAATATTACCTGATTTATTGATGCATTTTTTCCCAAACAATTTTTTCACAGTACAATAGAAGTCATCAGTGCAGAGACACTGCATAAATTGTAAATTGCTTTCCACTAAGGAGTGGATACTCAGAACACAGTGTGATGAATTTCTCATCTTGCAGGGGTCACCTGGAATACAACAAATATATAGTAATCCAGATATTAATTTAAATATAATTTCTTAGTCTCTTCAAGAATTATCATATTAATATCTGTAATTAATTACTATATAAAGATTATTTGGGCCAACACAGTGGTGTAGAAGGTTAAGCCTCCACCTATAATACTGTCATCCCTTATGAGTGCCAGTTCACATCCAGGCTGCTCCACTTCTTTTTCTTTTTTTTTAAGATTTATTTATTTATTTGAAAGGCAGAGTTACAGAGAGGCAGAGGCAGAGGCAGAGACAGAGAAAGAGAAGTCTTTCACCCACTGGTTCACTTCCCAGATGGCTGCAATGGCCGGAGTTACGCCTATCCAAAGCCAGGAGCCAGGAGCTTCTTCCGAGTTTCTCACGTGAGTGCAGGGGTCCAAGGATTTGGGTCATCTTCTACTGCTTTCCGAAGCCATAGCAGAGAACTTGGATTGGAAGTGGAGCAGCTGGTACTCGAACTGGCGCCTATTTTGGATGCCGGTACTGCAGGTGGTGGCTTTACCAGCTATGCCGTATTGCCGACCCATGCTCCACTTCAGATCCAACTCTCTGCTAATGGCCTGGGAAAGCAATAGAAGATGGCCCCAGCACCCACGTAGGAGACCCAGAAGAAGCTTCTGGCTCCTGGCTTTGGTCTGTCCCAGCCCTAGCTGTTGTGGCCATCTTGGGAGTGAACCAGTAGATGGAAGATCACGATTTCTCTCTCTCTCTCTCTCTCTCTCTCCCTTTGCCTTTTATATAAATAAATCTTAAAAAAGAAAGATTATCTGAAATTCCAACAGGATGTCCATATAAGTAATGTTTTAAGCAACACATTTATTTTTACTATATTTTGCAAGAGGACACTTACTAAATATATATTAAAACTTTTTGTATTTTAAAATAACTTTGTCCTCATACAGAATGCCAATTTTAGTTCTTCAGTAATACTCAAAGCTGTCCTTGCACAAGGTGACCAAAATGTTTTGTAGTCTTAGCTGTTTTGCCTGTTTACCTAAATTGCTCAGCTATTTGTGTTAAGTTGCTAGTTTATTTTCCATGCCATTCTAAGATTTTATTAAGAAATGTGCAGGTGATTTAGATTTATTATTGTTTTAAAGATTTATTTCATTACTTGAAAGTCAGAGTTTTACAGAGAGAGAAGTCTTCCATCCGCTGGTTCATTCCTCAGATGGCTGCAGCGGCCAGAGCTGTGCCAATCCAAAGCCAGGAGCCAGGAGCTTCTTCCAGGTCTCCCATGTGGGTGCAGGGGCCCAAGGGCTTGGACCATGTTCTACTGCTTTCCCAGGCCATAGCAGAGAGCTAGATTGGAAGTGGAGCAGCCGGGACTTGAACCAGCACTCATATGGGATGTCGGCACTGCAGGTGGCGGCTTTACTCGCTACACTATGCCGGCCCCTAACTTTTTTTTTATTATAAGAAATTGAGTGATTATTGCAACAACAGAGTATTCCATAAGTATTATTGACTAAATTAATGAGTTTTTTATAATTATCAATATTTTATTTTCTGCTTTAATTTAAAAAGCCATATCCTTCTACCTGAGAATTTCTTTTACTAGTTATTCTGAATAGAATTTCTTGAGTTCATTTCATTTGGTGTATTTGAGAATATTTCAGCTTCATATACAGAATAACTATGCAAATATTTTAATTTATAATAGATGTTTTGCTATTTCCATATTGAAAGACATAAATAAGTTATAATTCATGACACACTAAATGAAATGTTCTAAGAACACATTTTATATTGCCTTATAGTGTAATAAGGTATCTGGTTATCAAAACAAATAGATTTTTTTCAAACTCTTTTCCATCTTTTTTTGTAGGTAACCTTTAAAATGTTTTATTTTTAAAAAATTTTTATTAATATAAAGAGAGCAGATTTTATGCATCATATAGGTACAATTCCAAGACAATCATATTTCCCTCACACCCATTCTCTCCCCCAATATTCTCCCCCCTCCTCACTTCATCAGTTTTTGCAAAGGTGTAATTTTATATTTACAGACTGAATTCACCACTATTCATAATATTCAACAAGTACGATTACTGTGTTACTTGAGCAAATTACACCTTTGAAATTTTCTTGAACATTGATATTAATGTTGAACTATATATCTACAACTTTCCCTGGAATGTGAATATCCCATGTACTCCCTTAAAAATGTAGAAAAGGAACTGTCTCCACCTTCCCCACGTCCTTTGTGATCCATTGAGGTTATGTTGTTGACCAGGAGCTCACTGGTGGTCATTGTGCACACTGGCATTGTTAGAACCACAGATTGCTGCTTCTTAACCCAACATACCCCACCTTATACCTTTTGTGTGGTAAAGGAATCTCATGAAGATAGGTAGGGGTCATGATCAGTACATAATTTACTCTTCGTGAAGTGAATGGAGAAATCATGAGTCATGGAAGAAAAGATTTTTATTTTCCCTTCTGGTTTCTGTTACTGAATATCCAGAAAGTTTATTGGATTTGTAGATTATCATAATATTCAAAGTGCAAGGCAATGTGTCATTATGTTAGTGTACTACTTTTGAGTACTCTGGCATAACAATATGAAAGCAATGTTCCACTATATGAGAATAATCAGTTTATTATATCTATTTTTAGTGAAGGAAAGCTTACTGTATTTTTTCATTTAATATTTATTGAGATCCTTGAATATCCAAGAAATAGTTTTTTTCTTCTTAGGCAAATACCAGTCACTTTCTAATCTTCAATTCTCTCTCTTAGTAACCTCCCCTCAAATGTTTAGAAGGTAGGACAAGTTAAAAACAAAAATATGTTTTGTTTGTGACACAGTTGGAATGGAAACTAGTATATATGTTGCAAAAACATAAAATGTGCAATATCATGTGAGAAAGATAGCAATTATCCTGAATGTTTTTATATTTTATCATTATTATATTAACATGTACACAAAATAATATCTTACTTGAAATGTCATTGCTGTGGTTCTTAGAAGTATGCATGTAATATGATACATGGTGAGGTAATAATCTGAAACTTTTCAGAAAATTGTCTTCAATGTTAATATATCAGTTTTCATTAGTATTAAGAATATCCTTTTTATTTATTTTATTTTATTTTATTTATTTATTTATTAATAAATGATTAAATGTGAATCATTGAAACAACAAGTTTGAGTAAGGTATTTATTGCAAAAATAATTTTGATCTTAGGGTATTGAAAGAAAATATCAAAACTCACTTTTAATTCAGGAAAAAGGTATTTGAGAGTTTATTTTAGCAACTTGTTTTACCTGAAGCATTGCAGGCATCTTCCGTTATTCTCCATGCTTGTTCACATCCATCCACATCACTTAGGCATTTCTCTCTTAAATGTGTACAATCATTGAATTGGGAAGTAGGTTCATTTTCCAAGCTTAGCCCCATAGCTTGTATAACAAAAACAGCAGCAAAACAAGTTTGCAGTATTCCAGTTTGGCAGCCATTTCCTCCCATACCTGAGTTGTTAATGATAAAAAGCAGAATTATGGAAAACATGATAAAATTATTATAAGATTGAAATGAATTCTAACCTTCCCCTTAGATAGAGGTCTGAATGTTGTAATTGTTCCCCCTTTCTCACTACTTATTCATTCTTCAACATAATTTTTATGAATATTGCTCCATAGAAATTGCTCTTTAAAATATTTCTTGGGGCCAGCACTGTGGTGCAGCAGGTTAAAGCCCCAGCCTGCAGTGCCGGCATCCCATGTGGCCGCCGGTTCACATCCCAGCTGCTCCTCTTTCAATCCAGCTCTCTGCTATGGCCTGGGAAAGCAGTGGAAGATGGCCCAACTCCTTGGGTCCCTGCACCCACATAGGGAGACCCAAAGGAAGCCCGTGGCTCCTGGCTTTGGATCAGCTCAGTTCTGGCCATTGTGGTCATTTGGGGAGTGAACCAGCAGAATGTAAGACTTCTCTCTCTCCTCTGGCTCTAGCTCTTTCTGTAACTCTTTCTAATAAATAAAGATAAATAAAAAAATAAAATGTCTCTAGTCACTCTCAATATAAAACATGGTAGTCTTAAGACTTTATTTCACCTACTTTTATCATCTAACATTTTGTGGACATTTGTTCTTGAAACTCTTTTCATTCGAAAACCCTTCCGTGTAGTTCTCTTGATAGTTTTGTGGTTGATAATTCTGTCTATAGTTGCAATCCTTTCCAGCATTGTTCTACTATTCTGTAAAATTTTAGAGTAGGTTTTGGCCTCAGGGTTTTTTCACTATCATATATTCCATTTGTACAAATTCAGTTCTCTCGTATTTTTTCAAGTATTCTAGTCAGATAGCTATTATCTCTGCCTGAGTATTCCAGACACACTTTCAGACTATAACATCTTTAACATTGTTCACATCATCACCACTCTTGGTTGAACCATACTACTTCACCAGCAATGACTCAAATCTTGTATTTATGATAGATTTCTTTTTCTATTCTTAATCTCTGCTCACCCATATCCATTCTTGCATAGTTCATTGACTCTCACTTTGAGTATTTGACTAATTCACTACCTGATCAGTCTGCTTCCTATTCCATCTCATTTAGATAGGCTTTTATACCTCAGCCTAGTACTATTTGTCTCTATTTCTATCCTCTGGTTGATTCTTCCTAATGTAGTTTCATATTCTTCACCATGAGCCATCTGGAAGTCCTCAAGCATGTAGTTTCCCAAACGATCCATGCTCTCTTGCATAAGCATTTACTCTCCCATCACTAGTGAACACCACATTTGTCTTTCAGAATAACACTTTGTGTGCTATAAGACTGATCACATTCATTACCTGTTTCAAGGAAACCGTCCCTAAATTCTATATCCTCTGTTACCCACACTCAGACAGAATTTGATATCCCTCTTTTGTTCTGCTAGAAAATTGGGGATCCACTCACCTGTAGCATTTACTGCTGTGAGTGTTCATGTGCTTTTTTGCACCAATAGATTCTGGTATTTTATTGGATATTCTTTAGGGATAATTAATAATTGCTTTTTAGGGGAGGGTATTGTGGTGCATCAGGTTAAGCCACTACTTGGGATGCATGCATACCATATAAGACTACTGGTTTGAATCATGGCTATTCCAAGCTTCTGAATCAGCTGCTGCTAATGTACCTGGGAGGCAACTGAAGATAGCTTAAGTGCTTGGGTTCCTGCTATCTATTTGGGAAACCTGGGTGGAGTTCCTGGCTTCCAGACTCCTGACCTAGCCCAGGCTGTGGCAGGCATTTGGGGAGTATATGAAGATAACTGTCTCTATCTTTCTCTCTCTTCCTCTCTTTTTGTCACTTTACCGTTAAAATAAATGAATCTTTAAAAAATAAATATATTCCAATTATCAAGCACATATGCATTATAGATATTTAATAAATATATATTGACTTACTTCAAACTTATTGGTTGATTATGCTGATTTATATAAAAATAAATGATAATATCTAATAAAAATAATACCTTCCAGATATTTACATGTTACTTTTGAAGTAGGAGAAAAAGTTCCATTAAGTTTTCTGAAAGCATCAAAAAATAGCTATGCTAATTTAGTGTTATATGTTAGTTAAATTGATTTTGCAAACATGAAAAGTGAGTTACCTAATCAATTAAAGAAAAAGATGGAGTATCATAACTTAGTTACAGAAATAGTTATCTTTGCTCTAGTCCAGCAACCATGAGTCATGTTTTAATCAGAGCCGAATTATTTTAATAAGAAAAAATAATGTTAATTATGAATTGCCCTTGATGCTATAGACTGTAGACTTAACAAGTATAAAATAAATCCAGGAAAAAAATTTTTTTTTAAATCTTGCTTCTTTGCAGAACTTGTCTCCTAAGAATCCAAGATAGGATCACCTGTACTACTTACTGGGTCACTGCATTTGGAGATTAGGCCTATGGAAGTGGTTTTTGTCACATTTTTTTCTCATTGAGGGTTGAAGTGGGAATTTACATATTAGCTTTATTTTTTATCATTTGCTCATAAACAGCTCAATCTGGTCAAACTAGTGTACTCCTATATTCATAAGCCCAGAGAAAGATAAAGAGGGACATTTCAATGCTAGCCTACACTTGAATCCAGTTTTCCAAAAACTCTGAATTGGGAATTCCTGTCAGAAACTCATTTTATAATGAACTGGCATTTTATTTGCCATTGATCATTGTATCTTGTGAATAGTCCCTCAAGAAATTTTAATTATTCATCTCCTATAAATATAATTTAAGCATCACAAGTACCTTCCTATTATCTTTCCCAGATGAGGTGAAGTATTGACTCAACTAAAGAAGCCATCTCAATGATTTGGCTTACAAGAACCAAAGATACTAGAGTCGGTGAACTCAGGGGGCTTCCATAGCCTTGGCAGCTCATGACAAGAGCATAGGGTGATTACTGAGGCCATAAACAAGAGTGTCAATTTGTTAAGTCAACAACAGGAGTCACTGTGCACTTACTCCTCATGTAGGATCTCTGTCCTTAGTGTGCTGTAAATTGTGATTTAATGCTATAACTAGTACTCAAGCAGTATTTTTCACTTTATGTTTCTGTGTGGGAGCAAACTGTTGAAATCTTTACTTAATGTATGCTAAACTGATCTTCTGTATATAAAGAGAATCGAAAATGAATGTTGATGTGAATGGAAGGGGAGAGGGAGTGGGAAAGGGGAGGGTTGCAGGGTGGGAGGATCGTTATGGGGGGGAAGCCATTGTAATCCATAAACTGTACTTTGGAAATTTATATTCATTAAATAAAAGTTAAAAAAAAAACAAAGATACATTACCTTTCTAAAATCTGACATTCATTTCTATGATTTGTGACTCTATATTTAAATCATATTTTTGAAAGTTTCTCCTGAAATCTTCAGTGAAAATCAGGTTCTATTTTAAAGTAAACACGGTGAAAAATGTTGCATTTATACTACTCTTTTAAAGATTATAAATCTTAGACCAGCATTGTGGTGTAATGGCTTAAGCTGTTGCTGCCTGCAAAGTTAGGATCCCTTATGGGTGCCAAGTCAGTCTCAGCTGCTCCACTTCCAAACTAGCTCCCTGTTATTGTGCCTGGGAAAGCTGTGGAGGATGGCCCAGGTGCTTGGATTTCTGCACCCATGTGGGAAACCCAGATGAAGGTCCTGACTACTGGCTTCTGCCTGACCCAGCCCAAGCTGTTGAGGTCATTTGGGCATGAAGCAGTGGATAGATGCGCTCTCTCTCTCTCTCTCTCTCTCTCTCTGTGTGTGTGTGTGTGTTACTCTGCCTTTCAAATAAACAATTTTTTTTTTTTTTTTTTAATTATAAGGCTCGGCCGGGCGCCGCGGCTCACTAGGCTAATCCTCCGCCTTGCAGCGCCGGCACACCGGGTTCTAGTCCCGGTCGGGGCGCCGGATTCTGTCCCGGTTGCCCCTCTTCCAGGCCAGCTCTCTGCTGTGGCCAGGGAATGCAGTGGAGGATGACCCAAGTCCTTGGGCCCTGCACTCCATGGGAGACCAGGAGAAGCACCTGGCTCCTGCCTTCGGATCAGCGCGGTGCGCCGGCCGCAGCGCACCAACCGTGGCGGCCATTGGAGGGTGAACCAATGGCAAAGGAAGACCTTTCTCTCTGTCTCTCTCTCTCTCTCACTGTCCACTCTGCCTGTCAAAAAAATAAAAAAAAATCAAAATCAAAAAAATTATAAGGCTCATTAGTATATTTAATCATGGTTTTTCATGTTTCTATGGTGACAGATGTTTCCTTCATACAAGACAGATGCTGAACATGTATTCTGAAGAGGGCAGTATGGGAAAAGCATACCAAATATAATTTGGTAACTGAGAATGTCAGAAATTATTTCCTTCCCTCATGCAACTAAACTAATAAAGACTAATTTAAAAGTAAAAGATGAAAACCTTGCCTTTCCACTGAGGTCATAATGAGGTTTCATTGCATTTTCTATGTTCTGTTATGTTGCTGCCTGATCTGCCAAGGTTAGAGTCTCAGAGCAGGCGTTCAGTACAATGGTTAATACAATGCTTGGGATGTCTGCATCCATATCAGAGTACCTGGTTTGAGTCCTGGTTTGGCTTCCATTTCCTGCTTCCTGCTACTGCTCAATCTGGGGGCATCAGAGAATGGCTCAAGTGGTAAGTCACTGACACCCACATGGGAGACGGGATTGAGTTCTCAGATCCTGGCTTCAGCCTAGCCCAGCCCTGGGTAGGGTTGGAATTTGTGGAGTGAATCAGCAGATGGGAGGGTACTGTCTCAGTGTGTCTCTGTGTGTTCTTTGCTCTGTTTCTCTGTCTCTCTGCCTTTTAAATAGACAAGTACACATTCTAAAACAATGAACATCTCCTAGCTTTCTATTTGAAAATATACCTGTAAACTTTCATGATTAAAATTATGAAAAAACCAACTCATCTTTTAATTCCATTTTCCATGATATTTTTGAAGCACCCTTATAGCAACAATAGAAAGCAGTAATAATGTAATATTAGAAATCAATGTAAAAAATAAGGAAATATTTTGGAATTAAGTACAAATTTTGGAACATGGAAGAACCATTTTAAACCAAAGAAAAACCAAAAATGTAGAAATTATTATTTTCCTTCTTAATTATTTTCATTTGAATTATTTTGACTCCCCTTTCATGTTCAACATGATTTACAATAAAATTCTTTATTTTGTTGCCCATAATATGTCTTCATTAATAAATATCAATCAGCTTAAAGTGAAGATATTCTGGCTTAGTTATTAATATCTAGCTAGGTTTAATTTATAGTTTTTGCTAGATGCTGAAGAAGATGTAAAAGCTCCACTTATGCATGTAACAAATAGATGTTCATGGATTCTATGATAAATGCCAGTGAGTCCTTTTCCACCAATATCTTCAATGCATTCATATGCTCTAATAGAAAAGGGATACATCCATGTTTTATCTTTAGATCATAAACACTAATCAAAATGTGAAGCATTTGATGTCATGTTACTTTACTAAATGACTCCTACTTTAGTAAATATTATTACCATTATAAATTTAGGAGTATTGAATAGTTTAAATTAATCTCATTTTATTTCATTTCAAAACAAAACCAATTAAAGGTTGATATCTATCATTTTATCACTTGTAAATAAATACTGGAAGGTTATAAATTCCATAAATTGTAATAAATAACTCAAAAACATTGGATTAGTCTATTGATGAAACAAGCAACCTGAGTGATTAAAGCAATTCTTACATTAGAAAACAGTGAGTAAAAATAAGCGTACATTTTTGCAAGAGTGACAAAGATGTTAGTTTGGTAAAGTAACTTGAATTCTGTATTATAAGTCTTCGTTAAGCATAATTTAGAAAAGATGGCTTTTGGTTTACCAAGAATTAGTATTATTATCAATTCAGACAAAGCAGAAGCATAGTTCACTTACCCAGGAAAATGAGCGCTAGCATGCTAGAGAACTTAGTACTGCCCGTCTAGAGGAGAGGTAGATGTGTTTACTGCAACTACCTGCTTAACAGAAACTGCCCAGAATAAGGCTTCAGCCTCTGTGTTTGCTTCCTAAAAGCATTACCAATTCCAGTCAGCTTGATATGTCACTATTTCCTCACCAATGTTTCCTGAGCTGTGAACTTTCCTAATTATATTGAAATTCAATTATTCTCCTGACTGTGCTGAACTCAGATGTTATACTTCCAATAAAGCCTACAAACCGAATAATAAGAGAAATGACACATAATCTGCACATTCAGGAAATCTTTCCTCCGTCAACTAAAGTACTAAATGGTGGAAAATCTCCCAAACACAACCCAAGATTTTCCAAGACACTTAAACATGCTAGGTTTTCCTCTTACGTAGTGCTCATAGGCAACTTTATGGAATTTTAATTATAGAAAAGGAAAAAAAAAAGTCAACTTCCAGGAGAATGATTGAGAAATCCAAGCTCCACTACATTTAGACAGGGATATCTCATCTTACCAAACTGGAAATGTCTATTTACATGTGCCACTTCAGTTACAGTTCCTCAAACTCCTATAAATGCAGCTACAGTGCAAAATAAAATAAAATAAAATAAATTCAGCATTCCACTTGAAGGTAATTATTCATATATGTGTTCATCATCTGAGATATATTTTTCTGCTAGTTCCAATGAGCAGTATTATTTCTCTTGTGTCTTACTTTGCTACTGTTCTTCCCTACTTATGTCTACAGAGCAATACCTTCCTTGGGTGTGATAAAGCTTCAGAGTTTGTTTTCTTTGCTTCAGAGTTTGTTTTCTTTGCTTCAGAGTTTCTTTTCTTTTCTTTTCTTTCTTTTTTTTTTTAAAGATGTATTTATTTGAAAGGCAGAGTTACAGGGAGAAGTAGAGAAAGAGAGATCTTCCATTTTGGTTCACTCCCCAAATGGCCACAAGGGCCAGAGATGGGCC